CCTCTATTGTTTATGACTTAATGGCTTAATCTGTACAGTGTGGTGCCCCCTGTTGAAGTACTATGGTCCCATGTCTGCTAGCCATGTCTACTTCTGTTTTCTGTGACATTTACTGGATTGAAGACCATTCTCTTCACTTTTTAGAGCATTTAATACAAGGGGCTGAAGATTAATTTATCTATTTTAATTCACTGGTGGCCCATCCCACCATGCTCTGGAAAGGAGACAGGAAAACACCACATTAACTTTTCACACGTGAAATTTAATTTGCAAATGCTCTGGTATTTTTCGCAAACTGCCATGAGGTGTGAAGAAGAGGAAGAGTCAGTGTTTCATAAAGCTAACATTAATATCTCAAGACCTTGTAAGACTTCTATAATTATTTTTCATAGCTCTACTGTGAAGAAAACTGGCAACCTTTCTAGACAAAAGCACACGCAAGGTGTGATTAATTGTTTGGTCAATTAAATGTCAGAAAATAGTTGAAAACGTCCATCATAATTCCCAAAAATTGCTTGTTTTGTTCAACCAACAAATGTGAGTATGCAAATATGACCAAAGAAAAGCAGCAAATTTTAGCAACTGAGTAGCTGGAGCCAACAAGAGTTTGGAATTTGAGCTTGAAAAACATAATTACATAAACAATTTATTGATTATGAAAATAGTTGCTGTCGATCAACTAGTTAATTTATCATCTGATGTTATTGACATTGATGCGAAAAAGGGAACAGGAATAAATATGTTTCAGTCGACATTTGCACTGACAGACTTCAGTCCACTTGACTGGAATTTTCTAGACTCTCAGGAGGCAATCTGAGCACCAAGAGAAAATTCACACACTCCACGCAGAAAACATAAGCTTAAACAAAGGGCCTTCCTCTGTGGGTCCAAAGTGCTGTTGCAGACCGGTCTGGGAAAACCTGGAACCACAGAATATTTAGCTTTTTCACTTGACACAATTAAATCTATTATCAATAAAGTTAATTTTCTGCAGATCGACTAAGAGCTGTCAAACTTTGCAAGAATATGAGCAAATACGTCCAAACTCGGTGTTGAAAGAGTTCTAGATTAAATCTACAACAACTTGTGTTAAAAACAACTTATTGTGAACTGATACAAACGTCATATTGAGATTTATCAAATTCCTGTGTGCACACAAAAAAAAAAAAGAACTCAACTTCTATCTCAGACCAAACAGGTCAGGCCTACTGTATCTATTTAATGCCACTGTCCTGTCTCTTTTCTGTCCTGTCTCTTATTCTGTTGATTTCCCCTAACAGGGTTTCCTTGAGAACTAAATCTACTTAGGATTTATTGTTTCTTATTATTTCTCGTCATTGGAAATTATAATCCTTTCACCTAATCCCCCTCTCCCTCCCTCTCTTTCAGATCATATTCATCAAGATCATCCCCTCTGACAAAGCAAGAAATCAGCACAGTGGGGAGGTCTAAAGAGATCGCGTACCGGAACAGGGGGGTTTCTTCCAAATCAAATCAGGTTCCTCTGATGTAATCAAGACGAGACGCCAAAGACGACGACATAATCTCCCAGGGACATGCCACCCTTGCTTGCACGTTATTAAAAAACGAGGAGGAACAAATCTTTAGATTGAAAGACTGGAAAAATGGAATTATAATAAATCAGGGCAAACTAGGGCAAGGTTGGATAAAGCCTTCAGATACAGATGAGGGACAAATCTTCACAGTGGTTTGTGTTTGTATGTGTTTATGTGTGTGTGTGTTAGAGAGAGAGAGAGAGAGAGAGAGAGAGAGAGAGAGAGAGAGAGAGAGAGAGAGAGAGAGAGAGAGAGAGAGAGAGAGAGAGAGTGTAGGTGCATGAACATGCAATGTGTTTGTATGGTTGCTTATGAAATATTTCAATTTACTCAAGATCAAGTCCCTGACCCGAGCTCTGCCTCTCTACCTCTGTGTAAAACATCAGGAGTGCTGGTCGTCCCACTAGAACTCACTCAGTTGTCGGATAATCTGTCTGTATCTCAGGTGACTGGTGAACTGTGGTGCAGCTGAGCTTCTTAATCATTTGAGGGTGTACTTACAGATAACACCCACATGATGGCACAATGTGACAAAAGTGGACACCAGTCAGGAACTTGAAGGCTCTTTCTAATAATCTGTCCCAGGTCTGATCTCCATGATGGATGAACTATTGTATAGTGCATACTGCAATCAATGCCAGCGTTGCTACAGTTGTATACCACAGTTAGTTACATCTACAAACGCATTTGCCACAACATACAAAGATGAACTGTACATGAAAGTAGATATGAGCTTCAAAGAAGCACTCTTCACCACCAGATGGCCTCATTGAACTGCAGTAAAAAGTCCCAACACTATATTGACAAACTGTACACTATTCATGTTTGTTTGCATTTGTTTTTACATAATGTAGATCAGAGAAAAACATCTGATGTCTAAGTATAAAAAAAACCTCCATGTCTTCTCTCCTCCTCATTTCTTGCAAACTTTCTGCTGTCCACTCTAAAGTTGTAAAATGCTTGAAATATACCTAAAACTGAGTTTATTGAAGCCTACTTAATGCACTGTCATGCCTTATAACATCCACAACAACAAGGCATTTAATGTACAACCAAACCTTAAAACTTCAAGCACAATTACTAATAATCATTCTATATATTTTGCATTAAAAGGTTGTACCATCTAAACAACACTGTGGTACTGTCTGTGACCACAGTGGATGGATAGTGTCACAACACCTCCATTGCAGCTCATTGTCTGTTTAAAGTGAAGTGTGTGTGTGATGATATGGAGCACACACACCCCAGAGCTCAGGCTGAGGCACAGACAGAGTGAGGACATGAACATCATCTCATTTCGTGAACCTGAAAGCCGATTCCCCATTAACAACTGTCAGAGAGAATAGCATGCATTCACAATAGAAGAGTGGCAGCACAAACACACTATTTGTATTTACTGCAAGTACTCATGTATTTTGTGCTAAGTATAATTTAATGCAGTACTTTTATTTTTAGAGTTTTATTTAGAGTATTGTTATATTGTGGTACTTTTAATTCAGAGAGGTGATGACTTTTCCATTAAGTTATTATGGTAAAGGGTATAAAGGTTGAATTGGATTCCACCTTCATTTGGAGCAACACTACACCTGGACAATGGCCTTCATTCCACGCCCCAGCTGGCCAGCCAGCCCACAGCTCATCTGCCAAAGTTACCAAACAGCAATTTTTTTTATTAGTATGATTGAAGAGAGAGAAGACAAAGACACATTTCAAAGATGGGAGTGAAGAGCATAGGAAATGCAGATATAGTAATGGTAAACAGGTAAAGAGATTACCGACTATGACCTATGAGCGGTGCTCTACCAACTATGGAGCAGTAAAAGGACAGCAGAGAATTTACAGTGTTGGTGTTTTTTCTCAAATTTGAGTCTTCTGAGCAAAAAATGCATCAGAGCTAGAAAAACTGTAGAACAGCTGGCTCAGATATCATTCAGCTATACAGGATAAAGTCATTCCTCACACCCTGACACCAATGAACAGGCCTATGCACAGCATACATTTATTCTTATGTTGTTTATATTATCCAAGACATTGTTAGCAATAATTGGAAAATGTATTTGTTGTTGACCCCTCCTATGGTTATAGTATGTTTCTGTAGCACATGTGCACATACTTTATTTTGTTCGTTTGTTTCAAACTGCCACAAACTAACAAAAAATGTATTATTCCAGTTTAGCTAATGGGAACTTAGAGGCAAGAGATCGTAAGATCTTTTTTTTTAAGTATGTTTTTAGTAGAGTGGTTCATGATCACGACCTGCTCTGGTATAGTCTGGATATAAGATGTGAAGAAAGCAATGAAATCTCCCTTTTTTGCATTTTCACAAATAGAAAGTTTAAAAAATTGGAAAGTGGGTTTCAGACAGCGTTAAGACTTTACCTAAAATGTCTAACACACTTTAACAACAGTAATAGATGCAAAAAAATGGATGCGATCGGTCGCTAAGCAGTGTTAAATTAACTTGCCCCTTAGCGCCGAATCGGATGCTGCGAGTCCGAAGCTAACTTCAGCGCCGTCAGAGAAAGAAAAGGTATTACTCACAGTATCTGACGAAGAAGCCCGTCCTTTCAATGAAGTGGTGAATATCCATGTCCCACAGTCCCACTGCACTTGTTGCTGCGGTTGTTTGTCAACAGAGCTCCTCATCTTCTCTCTCCGACGATGCTAACTAGCTGCTAGCAAACGAAAAATATATCATTAGCAAAACTAGAGAACAAGCGAAAACGAACAAAAACAAGCACTTCCGTTTTTTTTCCATTTTAATAATTAACTTTCTGTTCTTTTTAATATGACCTGCGGATGACTCCACAATTCACAGTTCACTTACGAGTTTTTTGTTTGTTTATTTGTTTGTTTTTCATCAACTTAACTTTGCAACACTTTCCAGCGGACGATAGAGACTTACCGCTAGGGGCGCTGTTGTACTCATTTGAAGAAAGTCGATGAAAACTTGGGGAAACGAAGAAATGAGATGATGTAACAATATTAAATATTTTAATCTAAATTAGAGTGATATCTTATATGATGGATTCATGACTTTCCTTGGCTGTTGAGAAAACAAACGCCAATGCATGTTAGATTATTGGGGGGGTCTAGTATGACACCACACCCCCCCCACCCCTTGGAGGCCCCACCTAACCCACAGGACAGCCACAAATGTAATATAACTGATGTGAAATTACTCTACAGGGTTCCTAAATCATCTATGTATATAGTTTTTGTGTTTTTTTATAAAACTTTAATCTCAGAAATCTCACAAAAAAGTGAGAATTCTAAATAATTTTTTTTCCACATGTGGCCCTAATCCTCTTCCGTATATTATGTGCCTTTGGGTGCTACTATGAACTATTATTGGGGACGGTAACGCCCCAACACTTGGAGCTGGGGTGCCACATCCCACTTTCTCTCCCTCTGACTGAAGAGTCATTCAGAAGGAAGGCAACCCGGAGGAGGCACAATGACGGGCAGCATCGAGGGACTTGAGAGGTTTGACAGTCCCGGAAAAGGTCGAGGTCTCCGCGTTACCAGACCGTTTAAAGTTGGAGAGCTCCTGTTCTCCAGCCCGGCGTACTCTTACGTGCTTTCAGTGAAAGAGAGGGGCTGCTACTGCGAGTTCTGCTTCACCAGGTAATGACTGGTTATTTTTATCCCTGCATGCTTTGATAACTCATTTCATTACCCTCCTGCACTTGAGGACGTTTGCCTGTATCAGATGTAACGTCCTGATGACGGCTGACATCCTGCGGCAGCATATCCTGCAACACCTCATTACAGACACTACTTTCTGTTCATAAGTGATGGAGTCTTAATAAGTTCTGATCACCAAAGATTTACCAAAGAAGATATTAAAATGTCACTCCATAAAATCTATTTCAGTTGTGTGGCTCGTCTCTCCTATATATCTTCTTTCACAGATCTACATACCCTCTCTGTGAGTATAGGAATGGTGAGCATCAGATTTTGTGAACTGAATGGCACCATGATTACATAATACAGTCACTTTCAACTCTAGCTGTTGTTGGGATGAATGAAGGGGCTATAAATTACAGACACATACATTCCATCATATTCTATCAGTTAATGGAGTGATCAATTAGTAAGGTAATCATAAATACAAATGCATATATATTCTCCTGACATCATCTTAAATTACGTTTTAATGACAACATTCAGCTGTGTTCCTTATTTCTATCACTACCCCATTGGTTTATTGTTTATTCTGTACATGTTTGTTTTCATATGTGCATATTTTAAGGCACTTTTGCTATCTGCATTTTGTTGTACTAGATCCTACTCTGTGAAATGACAGTAAAGTTAAATCTAATCTAATGTCAAACAATATTCTTTGTGCTGCATCCTCATCTGGTTGTACTGTGTACACACACCTTTCTCTTTTCTCCATACTGAGAGTGCTACGATGTAAAAGTTACAGTACTTACTCTTGCAGCAGCAGTTTTGTGATGCTTTGTTATGATTTGCTATTCTTAGCAACGTGGAATTAGTTGTGCTTGGTGTGAAATCAGTGTTTTTATTTGGCAAGGATCTGTGAGGTTCATTGTGGATGATTTACACTGAAGCAACAGTCATTTGTCATCGTTGATTCCTTTAATGATATTGAAGCGCTTACAGAGCTGTGCTGCTTGTGTGGAAGGAGTGTTGCTTTAATGATGTTTCCTTTAAACTAATGTCAAATGTTGCAGAAGTCTAATTATGTGCACAGTTTGGATTCTGTCACTGAAATTTTTTACTGCCCCTTATTGTAGCCTACTGTAACCCTACCTCTGACCTTAGTCTTACCCCAATCCTGACTCTAATTGTGACCTTGTCTATAACTAGAGTCTATAACTGTAACCTTAATCTTCCATAAATACAGTAGACCCTGACTGTGTCAACATCAGAGACCTGTACAAATTTCCAATAAAATGTGAATTAAGGAGACTGATCTCAGGAGATTCATTCAGTTAGGTGTGAGTTTGAAAATACCACCCCTGGAGACCTTTTCTCTGCATAGTACAGTCAAAGACTCTTTGATTACTTTTAGAAGATCAAGATCTTAAATTACTGATAACTAATTTTAGAAAAATTGAAGTTACATCTAGACTTCACATCACGTTGTGTTTTCCCACCACTTACCCCGACCACGCTCTGCTCGTTTGAACTTGGCGTAAGTGTCTCAAAATTATATCAGCGGACTTTTGGACTGCTTTACTGTTTCAATGAGGTAGAGAGACAGCTGGTCCGTCATAAGGTCAGCTCTATTAATACCACAGAATGTTTTAAAGCCCTTCATTGCTATCGGTTATGACAGGCCTCCAGCAACTGCTGCTTCTTGTCTCAGAGCAGGATGTTTTAATGTTCATACACGCACTTAAACAATGAAACACTAAAGCAACCAGATACTCACCTATACCCAGATGCATGTATACAGTTACATTCACAATATTGAAGGCTAATATATTCTGAGCGATATTTGGTGTGCAGGTTGTCTGATGTTTGACTTGTTTCTTTGTGTGTCTGGGAAAGTAAATCGTTCAAGGATGGGTGAGGATCTTTGAGTGACTTCTTTATGATGTGCCACTTGCCATCCATAAGATAATAGACCCTTGTTTTTCATTTATAGGAAAGAGGGATTGGCAAGATGTGGGAAGTGCAAGAAAGCCTTCTACTGCAATGTGAAATGCCAGGTAGGAAACACTTTGAGAGAGTGGCTCCTGTGATGTAATGATTCATGTGTGGATGCTCAAATGACAATATATCATTACTGTATATATGTTGAAGCTCAGTGTTCAAAACTGCCACATTGTATTCCCCTTAGAACAGCCACTATTGCTCCTCAAGCAATATGGCTCTGTGGTTGGTTGGTTTATTTGGTCCAGAGAGAAATTTCCCAACAATAATTTAATAGGTTGACATGAAATTTGGTCAAGGCACTCATGTTCTCCAGAGGTTGAATTCTAATGGCTTTGGTGATCACCTGACTTTGTATCTAACGGGTCAGCTATCATATCAGTGACAATTCTTAATTGTATAAAACCAAAGCCACAGCAGAGAGGATGAACCCTTGTGTTTTTAGGCAACAGCATGTCCCTTTCCTCTGGTAATAACCTCAGGCCAAACCTTACATTTTTGACCCCACGTGTTCTCAAGATATAATAATGATAGCAACGGTAATCCATCCATCATGGAGTTCTTCATCTGTCCAACATAATGCTCTGAGCATTACAGGTCTTTAAGCCTTTAGTCTAGTCTTATACTGTGGTGTCATTTTAATTAAGTTTGGGTCAATTGATATTGAGAAATTATTTTGTCTGTGGGATTGTGGGTGGTGCAGGCAAACACTTTTACCTTACAAGTTCAGCTCAATTGAAGACTCCAAATTGCCCATTTGCAGGTTTATGTTTTGGTAGTTCTTTATGTGTATGACAGATGGTAAATGGTAAATGGACTGCACTTATATAGCACTTTTCTAGTCTTATTTACCGCTCAAAGCGCTGGACAATACTTGTCACATTCACCCATTCACTCACACATTCATACATTACACCCATTTACTGATGGATCACCCACCAGCCCAACATGGCTACATGTTTATGATGTATATGTCCATATGACATGTGTGATAAGGAGCTACTGTATATAAATGAATTTGCCTTGATTCGATTATAATGAACTAAATCGGGGGGGGGCGGGGGGGGCAGACAGTAAATGAATGGGTCAGTTTGCATGTTGGGGGGGTAAAGGGGTGAGGGTAGCAATAGATTAACACAGTGTGGAGTCACATTCCACCATGCTGCTTAATGCTACAGCTGGTGGTGTAGCTCAGGGGCCATATGTGCCAACTGTTAGGCCTTTGGCTGTGGTGAGACTTAATAGCTGGCTCTGCTGAAGATACTCACATTTCAAACGGTTTTAAACTACAGCGTTGATCTTTTTTTTTTTTTTTTAATCCCATTATAATATTTATATGTGTTTGTGTGTAGAAAGGGGACTGGTCCATGCACAAGCTGGAGTGCTCGGCAATAAGTGCATTCGGAGAGAACTGGTGCCCCTCAGAGATAACCCGCCTGGTGGCCCGGATCCTCGCCAAGAAGGTTGAAGAGTTAATAAAACGCACAACGAGAGTATGAGAGTTGTCTGGCACATACTGTACTGTAGTTCACTGCTATCATTTCTACGGGTTTCCACAGAAAATGCAGAAAGAAAGATGTGTGTCTGAGAAGCTCTTGCTAATAGAAGAAATACAATCCCGTGAGTATTTCCTTAATTAACACAGACAAAAGCACGCATGTTCACTTTTGTGATTCTACTTTGATTACTCCTTATAAAACAACCTGGAAGGTATTTGTATAAAATTTGTATAAAGTGAGGACTGGGGTTCATAGACATTGAGTTTCTGCACTTCAGTCCTAAGTGCCCCCAGATGTCCCTCTTCAAAAAGCACAGCCCATTCAGATTAGAGTGACAGAGACACCCATGGCCACATCTATATATATCCTATGGATGTGGGTCGAATGGCCATTAGACAACAAGTGTAACAGCTTGAAAGGGAAGCAGGAGTACTTTAGACTGACACACAGTGCTGACTGCATGTGTGTCTGTATGTCAAATGGTGTTGGATCAAGGAAATCTTTTTTTTAACTCATAATTGAGGCTCAGTTCAAAATCATAAAAATCTATATTAACATAATTATTCCTGATGTTAAAAATATTACAGGTATAAATATATACCTGCTATACAGTATGTAGAATATGTGGCAGAAAAAAATAGTCTGAGCATTATCGCTGGTTCAGCTACATCAGTTTTGATGTTAAATTCATGGGGTACTCTTTTAATATTAGAACCCAGAAAAAAAGCCTACCTACACATATTAACAGTGCTGCAGCAAAAACAGAATATATGTTTTTCTTTTTTGGCTACCTATGCTATTGGCCGTCATGGCTCCAGTCCTCACATTTCTTTTAGTAATAGAATATCAGAAATATGCAGTGCACAGATTTCTGTTCAGATAATTTGTTGATCCTATCTAAATCCTCTTATGAATTGAAACCCAAGTTAGAAAAAAAATAAATCATAAAAAAATAAAATAAAAATGCAAATAGAACCTAATTGCAATAATCACGGTGTCTTGCAACTAGTAATGAGGAGACACAGTTTTGCCAATGTGCCCATGTTTGTGTGTGACTTTAATCTTGTGTGTCTCTGTGTCTTGAAGGAAAAGTGAAACACTGAGAGAGAGACACACACACACACACACACACACACACACACACACACACACACACACACGTATGGTAGATGTGGATGACGTGGTGTCATAGGTGTCAAGAATGGAGAGCTGTTTATCGCTGTCTGTTTACAGTTACTGTCTGCCTGCCATTTGGAATGGATGTGGCTCATATTGTTAATGGAGCTTGAAATCCAGATAGAAAACATGTTCACTCTGTAATAACAATTCAATGTAATTTGGAAATGGTAATTCTTTCAGATTTAAAACAAAAAAACTGTATGAGATTTACCTTAAGTAAGCCTCAACAAGCAGCACAACATTACAAGTCAGTAGACTGGTCACCTGTTTAATTTGGGTTTAATTTGGACAGACTGGATACATCCGCATTTGGTTGGAAGCTTCTGCTCTGTTGCTTTCTCACTTCTTAAATGTAGCCGGGCAAAAGTGGTGTTCGCATAGTTTTATTTTAAAGGAAATCCTAGTTCAAAATAAATGCTGCTATAGAGCACGCATGTGAACCTGGGTAAATAAAAGTTGAATAATATTCAATAATTATATCAAACTAATACAATCAAATGAAAATGTACGTCCCTCTTCCTTTGACAGACGTGGAAGACGTAGATAATGAGAAAAGAGAGATGAACGAGGGAGACATTGCCGGACTGCATCGCTTTTACTCCAAACACTTGGAGTTTCCTGACCACAAAGACCTGCTCACACTGTTCTCCCAGGTACCACACACACACACACACACACACACACACACACACACACACACACACACACACACACAATTCACTGTAAAACAAGATGATTATATGTGCAAGCATTGTTTCATTCTCTGCTCTGTGTCCTTTACTCAACAGGTTGCCTGTAATGGTTTCACTATAGAGGATGATGAATTATCCCACATAGGTACTGCAGTGTACCCAGAGTAAGAAGGAAAACTCTCATGCATACATACAACCACATTTTCATTCAGTACTGTTTCAACACCGCATGTAAATGTACAGTATATCACACAGTATGTTCTCCTCTGTCATGGTTTTCTATTTTTTTTTTTTTTAGTTGACCTCAGATTAATTTCACGGTTTTGTGAGATTCAGTAGATAAGTATCTGTATCAGTATTGGTGAGCTTTATATTTGATCTGTTATTCACCTTTGCTGATTTAGTTAGTTCAAATGTTGCAGATGCTCTCAATAGCCATAATGCAACGTACATTTTTTGGATTTAATTGTCCTGTTTTTGACCATGTATCTGCCATATGCACACTATGTCGAAATCTGTTTGTAGAAGTTAACTTGCAGTATTTGTGTATAATTTAAAACTCAGTATTTAAGCCAGTAACAGATATTCAAAGAGGCCCGACAAGACAACTTTTCCTCTCCAGTTGGTGTTTTGGTGGCTCTCTGCTGTGGCGATGTTTTAAAATTGGCTGAGTGAGAGTGAATTTGCTCTCTCAGCACCTCGTTGAGCTATTTCCAGCCTGCCACCCAGGTAATGACAAGGCTGCTCATGTAATTCAGGGACACTCAAGACCTCTCTGTAGGCACAGTTGTAGCATAGTGCTAATACCACTTAAAAATAAAGTGGTTATGTCACTGTTATGTCATTGCTGTGAGTAATAATAAGTCTCACTGCTCCTACTTCATCCATTGTTTAAAAAAAAAAAAAAAAAAAAAAAAAAAGGGAAAGTAGAGAGTGTTATTTTTATTCTAATCTCATTATTTCTCTTGGTATCTGTCTGTCTCTCCTCACAGTGTGGCACTGATAAACCACAGCTGTCTTCCCAGCGTCATAGTCACGTATAACGGGATGTCAGCCGAGGTTCGGGCTGTGCAGAACATGAAGCCGGGAGATGAAGTGAGGAAAGGGGACAGCTGCCTTTACAGGGGGTTGAGTCCTGTTCTGTTTTAGTTTTTTTCACAAGTGTGTGTGTGTGTGTGTGTGTGTGTGTGTGTGTGTGTGTGGAGGAGGCCGCCATGCTTCTTACAAGAGGGCAGAGCGTGTGAAACATTTGCTAATTATGTTACTGTCTATTAGCTTGATTTGGTGACTCAGACCATAGCAAGAAGATCCTCTGAACTACTTCTAAAGAGCAGTCTTTTTTTTATGATAAATGACACAGAGTACTTGTTATGCCCTTTTCACTTCTAATAATATAAAGGAATCTATCAATTTTAAATTATCAATCAAATGATTAAAATTTACTTTGAAAGAAAAATGATTGTAAACCATAAAAAGTTTGTTGAAGAGGGTGGTGGTTATTTTTAGACCTGACCTTTTAACCTGCAGTTTAGGAGCTGTCTGCCAGAGAATTGAGACATTCAAACAGGAGGAAGTATGTCAGGAATGGAGAGTGAGAATTGTCTAGGATTCTCATGTGCTGTGTTTCCATGTGTTATTTCCATGTCTAGGTGCTCATCAGCTACATAGACCTCCTTTATCCAACAGATGACCGCAACAACAGGCTGAGAGAGTCCTATTACTTCACCTGTGACTGCAAGGAATGTAAAAGCAGGTCCAAAGTAAGAAAAATTGCTGAGTTAAAAAGAAATAAAGATAACATGATATATAATATATAATATTCTGGTATACAAATGCATGCATGCTGTGTATCCAACAAGTTGGGTTGGGTTGACTACCAAGCTGAGGCTCTGTCTTTACTTGCAGGACAAGGCAAAGTTGAAAGTACGTAAGCAGAGCGACCCCTTTGAGCCGGAGGTCATCAGCAATATGGTGCGCTACGCCCGGAAAACCATCAGAGAGTTCAGAGCCTTCAAACACACAAAAAATATCCTTTAATGTCATTAAATAACACTGTCTCTTGTGTTGTACAATTTGTCTGCACATTTTAATGTTTTATCGAGAACAGCTGCAGGAAATATCAAGTAAAGAATTTTGCGCAAACTGTTGAGTGTTAAAGCTTATGAGCCTGACACCTCAACAGTTAAACTTCTCTCTCTCCTGCTTACACTGAAGAGCGTCAAACTAATCGACTGATGTGGTGAATAATTTGCATGATGTCACAAGTTATTAGTGCACATTTTCTAATTATTTGCAGTCAAGTTGTGATTTACTCACTGACTTACTCATCGTAGATTTTATTCTTCATCAAAGTAGTTTCCCAGACTTTAAAACATCGGATTGTTTGATCAGAGGCCCTTTGACATTTCAGTTCAACCTCAACCTTGCGTTTGATGCAGCCTTGACTCTGTGGCACCCCCTAGTGAGTTACTGGAGATGTGTGAGCAGAGCCTGGAGGAGATGGGAGCCGTCTTTCATGACTCTAATGTCTACATGCTCCACATGATGTACCAGGCCATGGGAGTTTGTCTTTACATGCAAGATATAGACGGAGCGATCAGATACGGCGAGAAGATCCTCAAACCCTACAAGTACTAAGAAAAAGTTTGGGTTGTCTTGTGAAATCTGTGCCATAAGATTCTTTGCAAATCTGTTTTTTATATCTAAACTTTTGAGATATTTTTTTTTGTGTTTGAGTAAATGTAACTAAGTATGATCTCTGTCCAATGCAGCCAGCTGTATCCTCCCTACTCCTTGAATGTGTCCTCCATGTACCTGAAGTTGGGCAGATTGTACATGGGGATGGAGAGGTACTCCATGGGCATTAGCGCTCTCAAGAAGGTAAAGTGACGTTCTGACATTTTATATCAGACTCTCATACCTCAGCTGCGAATGACTCTCAAAGAAATAAACAATAGCAAATACTGGACTGGCAAAATCATGAGCAATAATCATTCGGCCTGGGTATCATTTGAAATTCTATTGTAATACTAGTACCAGTACAGCACCTGAGTTTTGGTACCGATAACCCAAACCTTTTACCATACCTTACTCAGAGGAATATAAAGACATTTTTTCAACTCAAGTCATGTTTTAATTTAAATAATCACGAGCAGCCATTCAAGTACTTTAACTAAATAAAATTCCGTCTGAAATTTAAATAGGAAACTGTCTAGTCAAGGAATCAGGAATAGTTTTAGATACTCAACGCTACAGACACATTTCAGCTGGTACCAAAAAAAAAAGGTAGTGCAGTTCAATGCCCTTCAAACTTAGAAATAAAGTACATACTTCCATGCCGTAAAATGTTGTGAAATTATTTTTGTGTGCCCACAGGCAATGGCCATAATGGAGGTGGTTCACGGGAAAGATCACTACTACTTGACAGAGTTGCGCAAAGAGATGACACGAAAATGAAGAGAAAGGAAGGAAATGATGAAATGTGGCTGATCCCTATGGACTGCATACACTCCTTTGATTAGGAGCTCTACAGAACTGTAGGCACTTTCTACCCTTTTTGGTATTAGAGACAATTTATGTTTTTATGGAAAGTTTTATTTATGGATTTTGAGAGGTTGAATTTTTAACTTTAGTTGTGTGAAGAATACTTTTGTACCTCCTTGTTAAAAGTTCTTATGCCAAGGTGAATAGCTGACTGTGAAATGTGCTTTTTACTCTCATGTTGACCGTAAGGCATCTGAGAAGTTCTTTTCCAAACTGTTAATGATTTCGTATTTGTTTTGGCTTGTTGACTGACACGTCAGCTGGACCCGGTCATCCATCAGTCGAGATGTTTACGTTTATGTGCAGAGGGTCAGTGCAACAAAATCCCTGTCAGCCAGTCAGGACAGCTGCCTCACCACAAGGGGCCTATTAAAGCTGCAGAATGTGCCCAAGCCACAATGGAGGGCAGGGATAGAGGACTGTGTTTGCATTAACACCTTCTGTGACTGCTCTGTTATAATTAATGTCTCCAGCGCTGTGTGAGAAACCCCTCTCCAACACACACAGTATTAGTGGCTAAAAGAAAATGATTCAAAAATTCCAAAATAAATGAATTTGTGGCCACACTCTTAAAGAAAATAAGGCTTTATTGCATAATAAGCAAGTACGACAGCTTCATACATGTCTGGGGAGAGAAAAACAAAAGACTTGATGCACTGAAAACGCATATACAAAACATATGTACACATACTTTGAAACGTATTTGGGAGTTTTGCCAAAAAAAAAGGAAAATTAAAGGGAAAAATTAAATATTAACAAACAGTGGAATGCCGTGTGAGAAAATACTGTCACAAAAAGAACTGAAGTGCAACAAAACACTTACATGTCAAGAGAGCATAAAGCTTATACTTATCTGAGAATATATACATTGAAATATAAAAATGCATGCATAGTTTATTATGTTGCGGTATTTTTAGGGTACCAAGTCCAAAAAAAAAAAAAAAACTATATAAAACATTTGTAGAAATCTTTTTTCTCACATGCCCATTATGTACAAAGTTATTTTGGACACGGCGGGCTTTGCATTACAATTCAGAGAAAAAAAAAAAAAGTATATTTAATGTAACATGTAAAAGAAAATTCTTCAGAAGGTGATTTTATACACAGGATTCAGATTCTTGGCAACACAGTAATCTACTGGGTTTGGATCAGATTAGTAGAAACAGCTGCCTTTTTCTTTTTTGGCAAAGACAGTCACTAAACTGTTGTCCTTCAACAATAAACCAAGACATCAGCATTCTCCTACTGCCAAATCTTTACCTGAGAGTTAGGTAAATGATTTGAAATGTTAAAGTTGTGCTCACATCAAAACATAAACTGTAAAATACTGATTTAAAGATTTAATCTTTGGAGGTAAAAAAAAAAGGAATTTAGTTTATCAAACCCCATCCAGAACAAGGATCAGCCAGGCAGCTTCTTGTTTCATGTTTCAATAAGGCATCATGATACAGTACATGCTGTATCTTAGGGCACAGTTCTCTATTGACTGCATATACGAACAGTGAAATTATACGTGTACATTACCTCCAATTCATCGGACAGCGTTTTGAAATGCATTTAGTTAAAAAAAAATAATAATAATGTAACAAGACGCATTTGATCGTAAGGAGCTGCGACTCGTGGAAACTAATGATTGTTGAAATGTACTTTGTGTGTGCTTGTATGTGTTTTACATGTGAAAGTGGGATCTTAATTGAAATGTTTAAAAGGAGGAACGTTCAGAAGGAACTCTTGTGGCATTCACAAGGAAGGCTTTCTGGAAAATATTATCAAAATTAAGACAAGTTCAAAAAGATCAACATGCTTGTCAATGCTCTGTTCTATGGCAAATGTGACCACAATCTTGAAAGAAATAAATTAAAACATTTGTTACAAGTTGAAGTAAATATCTGCTGTGTTAATCAATATTCTGTTAAAAATATAGGAACATTTTAGAACAGTGATTTAAAGAGTATTTTTGTTTGGCAAACTCTTTGAGAGTATAGAGTTTAGTAATAATACTGCTGCCACCTACTGTTCATGCAGCATAATGCCATTTCTAATAATGGCTAAATAATGAATGAGAAAAGTAGCAGACAGGCAATCTATCCAAACTGTAACTGTAAGACTTGATTTCTCAAGATATTTCCTAAGAAATCTCAGGACAGCACACAGGGCACTGAGACAGACATACACATTCACGCCTGCAGGAAAGATAAGCTGCTTATTCACCTGACCTGCGTGGTAAAAACGCACAAACATGCCTGCTCCACACGGAAAGGTCAGGTCCAAGATTAAATCCCAGGGGATAAAAGAATGAAATGTGAACACACTGACTAGGAGAAATGGTCATCAGATTCAGTACAGGCCAACACGAATCCTTTCCTCCCACGAGGTGAGTTTGTACGCAACTCGACACATTTCCATAACCATAAACTGCCACGTAGCAAACTCAACATCAAAGCGGAGCTGCATCTAACTGCATCTGCTATCAGTTTATATCTGCCGTATCAGTCCTCATGCTTGCATTAAGTACCATTGTCATCTTCTGCTGCCATTCTGCCACGTCAAGTAAAGCCTGCGCTCAGATGAGGCGGGAATTCTTGAGGAACTGGATGAGGACCTGGTAGACAAACTTGTACTGGGAGATGGTCTGCACCATCAGCATCCTCTGCTGCCTCAGCTCTGACAACATGGTGGGAACCTCCATTGGCTGAAGAGAAGGGAAGAAGAGAGAGAGAAACCATAAGCAGGGATGGAAAAATGAGAAAGACAAAGAGAGGTGAAGTGAGAAACAATCGTTTAAGGGTGTATCGTGTAAAATGTAGGCTACATATATGCTGGCTACAACAAAAGGATTCACTAAGAGCAATCAAAAATGGACCAACTGTGTTTAAATTCATATGATACTTGTGATACATGTATCCTGTCAAAAAACAAACACATTTGCAACCCTGGCTGTCTCCACCCACCTCATTGTGCTCCAGGCAGCTGATCATGAGCTCAGTGAGGATGACCACGCCGGTTCGGCCCACACCAGCGCTACAGTGCACCACCACAGGAGGATTGAGGCTCTTTGAGGTGTCCAGCATGGAGTTAGTGTGTCTCCTTACAGACTGGATCTCCTCTAGGTAGGCTGCAGGAAAGAAGGAAGACAAATGTGACTGCCAGGCTGAAGAGAGACTTCACTGGATGTGGTTAACGTTTGTTAACACTTGAAATATGAAGACTTATACCGCTTATTGGTTTTCTATTTTAAAAAAAAAGGAAAAAAACATTAACTGGTAACCTTGAGCTTCTCATGTAACTCTGCCATAAAGTGAATAAGCCTGTTTCACAAAATCTGAACGATTCCTTAAATTCAACAGTAAATAATGAAGGTACAGCGGCTGTTTCATCGCTTCTTGTTATGTCTTGAAATTGAAGATAATAATGACACACTCACAGAGGAATCCCATGACATATTCAGGACAGCCCTGCTCAGGCCAGTCAGTGTACTGCAGGTGCCAGACCGTCCTCTCCTGGCCAGACAGCAGGTGTTTGACCTTTAACCCCGTGGTGGCATAGCAGCCCGAGTCGGTGCGGAACTTGGTGGTCACCTTGAACTTGCCGTGAGTGGCCGAGTTGTGTTTGGAGCCCAGTTTAGGCCAGTAGCGGTGACTCTTGGACCGGCCACCCTCCTGGATGAAGAGAGAGGGTGAAGAGTGGAGGATGAGGATTGATCGGTGATTGGAGGGGAAGGGGACGGCGTTTGCACATACACACGAACACAAAGACACAGAGACACACACATTCTCACTGTCATCGTATTTCTCACACGGACAAACACCAGCTGTCGGCCGCTGAAAAATATCCACATCTGCGTATGCCATGTGTGTGCATCTGTGTGTGTACCTCCTCTGCAGTAACCATAGCGATGACGTTGACCCCCTGCTCCCAGACCATCTGCCAGAAGTCGGCACAGGTGTTGGCTAGAGGGCCCTGGGTGGCGATGTAGTGCCACTCCTCCCCTCTGATCATCACCTGGGAAAACACACACACAAACACACACATATACATAAACAATCAATTAGTGCACATGCAGATTATAGTGACTGCAGTGCAAACAAGAATTGGCCAGTAAACAAAGTCACTCACTAAAAAGCTAAATCTAAGACAAATACAAATTAAAAATCACATTTTAGCCCAAAAAAATGAATGAATTTTAAAATATATCTCATTTATAGCTTATTTAAGGCACTGGCAATAATCTCATCCACCACTGGAGGGCAGTATAAACACCTCTGATTTTTGACCACAGTGGCACCAGTTCTCTCTCATTTAAAAAACTATCAACTCCTCTACTCTTAACTTTCCTTTGCTTTCCCTCATTAATAACCATAAGGCCACACACGGCACTGAAACACTTCCCGTCTTCAATACACTCCAACCACAGAGACTTCATAGAGCCATTACATAATGAGCATGCCTCGGCTGATTCCTCAGGCCGCCTCGTGACTGTAAACACAGTATTAGGAGATGGCTGGGGAATAAACAAGGCCTTTTGTTCTGCGGCAGCTACCTTAAATGACGGAGGAAGTAAGAGGGTTACACCGTGATAGGCAGCGATTCAGTGAGGTGATCGCACTCTCGCACCGGATCGCAATTAGGCATACACGCGAAACGCAAACTCATGCACACACACCATTTGCAACTAAGCATGAATAGAGGGGCTAGTGAGAGCAGCTCAGGTTGACTTAAGAGGGTTTGGAGTTTGGACCACATTCTTTGGGAATTCCACAAGCTCTGTGAGCTTAAAGGCCCAAACAGCCTTCAATAGCTGCCTTTCATCCTTTCCTCCGAGCCATTCCCTGCTTAGAAATGACCACAACAATGACTAGCAGAGAGCTGAATGTATCAAGTTTATATCCTTTGATTTGATTTATGTTGTGTGTGATGCTAGGTATGATTTGAGACTGCAACTGTGATTGAGAGCCATACACATAAACTTGAATCTTATGAAGCAATTTGTGACTTTTCTCCCAAGTCTATATCATTATTCTCCTCTATATACACTCACATTGAATTTTAAACTCAGGTTGCCAATGTTCATGTAGTGTACATTATATTTTGGAGATCAACGGTTTTCGTAGGACAGTGTGCGGTATGCAAAACGACCTCCCGCACCTCATGAGTAAACACAGAAAAAGCTTCAACTCAGTTCCATTAATTAAAAGTCTGGATCACAGCAGTCATCACACCTTGATATGCGAGGCATTAATGTAGCCTGTGTTGTTCTCCTTGTTGGGCACAAGCTCTACACGATTCTCTTCGTAAGGAACGACGTCACGGAAACGGTTGCGCTCTGTGTTTTCGGGCAGAGTTGCCGTGGTGAGGACACAGTTCGCCCTCTTCTTGGGCACCTGCTCATACTCAGTGAAGACCCGCTCCTCTTCCAGCTTCAACTCCAAGGTCTTACACTGGAGAGACAGAGAGAAAGAGAAGAAGAGAGGAGGGGGTGTTAATCATTGAATACCAAGCAACACATAATTCGGAGGTTTCTCTTTGAGTCCCCAAAGGGCTTTTATGCATTTACATTCCACCATACCTAAAAGACTATTCAGCCAAGCAGAATCCAGAAATCTCATTGAAATATATGTCCACGTTTCTTAACTGACAACTGAATACTGACTCAAACCACTTACAAAGCATCAACATAGCTTTAAAAGAGCAGGACATGCAGTGGTGGTATTCATCCTGGTGCGGGTACGTGTTTATTAGGCCAGTCATGTCTGACAGAGCAGCATCTCTGTCTCTCTCTCTCTTTCGATTCCCCTGTCTCTGCGGCTTGCTCGCTCTCTCTCGGGTCACATTCTTAACATACCAGCGGGCCCAGAGGCGATAAGCACCACCATGCCACGCGTTCCACAGCCCACTTAGGGCTTGCCCCCGTTAGCTTAGCAACAGCGGGGACAAAGACTGGGCTT